AATATTAAAAAATTAATGACAGTGGAATGCATTACAAATTTTATTACATATATACAGCACAATTTTTCATATCTATGGTTATATATAAAGTATATTCACACCAATTCATGTCTTCATACATGTACTTTGGATAATGATGTCTATCACATTCCACCATCCTTATTATTTCCTGTCTTCTGCTGCTTTTGTTTTTGATTTGTTCTTCTTCTTCTAGGGCTTTGAGATGTAGTGTTAAGTCATTTATTTGTTGACTTTTTCTTCTTTTAAGACATGAACTCCATGCAATGAACTTTCCTCTTAGAACTGCTTTCATAGTGTCCAAGAGATTTTGATATGTTGTATCTGTGTTCTCATTCACCTCTAAAATTTTTTTAATGTCCTCCTTGATGTTTTCTGTAATCTATTGTTCATTCAGCAGCATATTATTTAGTCTCCAGGTGTTGGAGTGGATTTTATTTTTTACTTTATCATTGATTTCTAATTTCATTCCATTATGATATGATAGAATGCAGGGCAGTATTTCTACTTTTTTATATTTGCTAAGAGATGCTTTGTGGCAGGTATATGGTCTATTTTAGAGAAGGATCCATATGCTGCTGAGAAGAAAGTATATTCTCTCATTGAAGAATGGAAATATTCTATATATGTCAGTTAAGTCTAAATTACTGATTGTATTATTGAGTTCTATAGTTTCTTTGTTCAGCTTTTGTTCAGAAGATCTATCTAGTGATGAAAGAGGTATGTTAAAGTCACTCAAAATTATTGGGTTGTGGTCTATTTGACTCTTGAACTTGAAAAGAGTTTGTTTAATGAACATAGTTGCTCCATTGTTTGGGGCATATATATTTATAATTGTTAAGCCTTGTTGATGTATGGTTTCCTTGAGCAGTGTGTAGTGTCCTTCTTTATCTTTTTTGATTGACTTTACTTTGAAGTCTACTTTATTTGATTTGAGGGTGGACATCCCTGCTTGCTTCCACAGTCCATATAAGTGGTATAGTTTTTCCCAACCCTTTACCTTCAGTCTGTGAATGTCTGTTTCTATGAGATGAGTCTCTTGGAGGTAGCATATTGTTGGGTCTTTTTTTTTTTTTTTCAATCTGCTAGTCTATGTCTTGATTGGTGAGTTTAGGCCATTAACATTCAGGATTATTTTTGAGACATGATTTGTATTCCCAGCCATTTTTGTTTATTTTTGGTATTTAACATGACTTGGTTTCTCTTCTGATTAGATATTTCTTTAGTATAATCCCTCCCTCTGCTGATTTTCATCATTGTTTTTCATTTCCTCTTCTTGAAATATTTTGCTGAGGATGTTCTGTAGTGCAGGCTTTCTCGCTGTAAATTCTTTTAACTTTTATTTATTATGAAAGGTTTTTTATTTCATCATCAAATCTAAAGCTTAGTTTTGCTGGTTATAAGATTCTTGGTTAGCATCCATTTTCTTTCAGAGCTTGGTATATGCTGTTCCAAGATTTCCTGGCTTTGAGAGTCTGGGTTGAAAAATCTGCTGAGATACAAATTGGTCTCCCCCTATATGTGATCTGATTCTTCTCTCTTGTGGTTTTTAAGATTCTATCCTTATTCTGTATGGTAGACATTTTCATTATAATGTGCCTTGGTGTAGATCTATTTTAACTTTATACATTTGGTGTGCTATAAGCCTCTTGTATTTGGTTTTCCAATTCATTCTTCATGCTTGATATTATCACATTGAAGAGATGTGCATTCCTTTTCCAATTCGTTCTTCATGCTTGATATTATCACATTGAAGAGATTGTGCATTCCTTTAGTTTGAAACTCTGTGCCTTCCTCTGTCCCAGTGACTCTTAGATTTGGTCTTTTGATACTGTTCCATAATTCTTGGATGTTCTGTTCATGGTTTCTAACTTTCTTCACTGTGTGATCAACCTTATTTTCCAGGTTGACTTCAAAGTAAAGCCAATCAAAAAGGATAAAGAAGGACACTACATACTGCTCAAGGGAATCATACACCAACAAGACAATTATAATTATATATGCCCCTTTGTGTTCATTATCTGATATTCTTTCTTCCAAGTGATCTAGTCTGTTGGTTATGCTTTCTATTGAGTCTTTTAAATTTGATTTATTGTATCCTTCATTTCAAGGATTTCTGACTTTTTTTTCAGGGTCTCTCTCTCTCTCTTGAAGCAATCTTTTGCTACCTGTATTTGCTCTCTTATCTCATTGTTGGAGTGATCAATTTTTGCCTGTATTTGCTCGTTTAGGTCATTCTTTAATTCACAGATAATTTTAATTATGAACCTTCTGAACTCCTTCTCTGATATTTCATCAACTTCGATGCTGTCCATAGGTTCTATTATTATAGTGTCCTAGTTTGTTTGGGGCACTTTCCTCCCTTATTTTTTCATGTAGTCTGTGTCTTCCTTTCTTGCAGTGTGGATCTGAAATATTACAGTCTCTTCCCTATATTCTTGTAGTACCTGTACAGATTGTCTGTATCTCACCTTGATGTTGGGCTTCCAGACCCTGCTTGTGTCCCTCAATGAATGCTACTGCATCCTGTGTCTGGGTCCTGTGTAAGTTGGAGTGGGTGGATCTGGGCTGCTGGGCTTGACCTCCCCTGGTAGTCCGCTGGTCAGAAGGGGAAAGGGGCCAAAGGCTAGGCTCTGGTGGTGTCTGCCCCGCCAGGGGATGGGTAAACCAGGCCTACTGAGAGCCTGGATCCCGCATGGGCCAGTGTGGGTGGATCTCCTTGACTTTTTTCTTTTTTTCTTAGTTGTAGTTGGACACAAAACCTTTGTTTTATTACTTATTTTTATGTGGTGCTGAGGATCGATTCCAGGGCCTTGCACATGCTAGGCAAGTACTCTACCACTGAGTCACAACCCCAGCGTTAGTGCCTCACTTTTGTTGAGGCTGGCTTTGAACTTGCAATCCTCCTGCCTCAGTCTCCTGAGATGCTGGGATTATAGGCATGCGCCACTACACACAGCTAGGATACAAGTTTTTAATGGGAACTATCCAATGTGTAATTACACACAAAAGTTATAATATAAGTCTGGCAAATATTTTACTTCACAGGCATTATAAACATTAAATCATGCATATTTACACTTTTGCTTATTTTAACTGGCTTCCATAAACTTGTTTGCCAGAAATTTTCCTAAGAACGGTCTATTTTAACCATAATGACTTATTTTTATAAAATGTTAAGGCTCACAACTATGATACTTATATATACATTTGCTAAAGAAAAGAGTATTTGCTTACTGATTCTTTCAGAAAGGGATAACTGTGTCTTATAATATTTAATTCAGCATAACTTTGGTCATCTTGTTATAACTCAACCAGTATAAAATCAATACATATGCCTTCAAGTTAGGAAAATCTATTACCCTTTTTAATCAATGATGAACATAATAAAAATAAAGGTGATGATAGAAAAAATATTCTTTAAAAATACAGAATCATGAATTTTGCCTACAACTTAATTCAGAGATCTAGTCATAGAAGAAACCACTAATACTAGCAGACAATTTTATTTTAGCATTGATATAATACATAATTACAGATTCAGAAAATACAACAAATCTTAAGCTGAATAAATAAAAGTAAACCCATATGCATGCACAATGTTATTTAACTATACCTATATAACAATTAAAGAAAGTGGCAGAAAACAGAATGCTTTCAACCAAAAAAGTCTAGAAGAAGTTCTATTAATATTTAAGAATGAGAGTAAAATATCAAGATATGTTCAGACTAGTGGTATACCATGGGCAGGATGAGGGTAAAAATTCACTCCATGTGCAATACATAGCCAATAGAGAAGTTAAACACAACAATAATAAATGTGAATAACCATCACTGTGTTTTGGACCATTCCCAGCAGCCTGCCCTAAGTATGTCTCTGGTTCAGATCAGGGAAACTGAGGGAATTTTTAACAAACCTTCATTAGAGAAACTCTAAGGATATATTTTAAGAGGAAGAAAACTATAAAGTAACAAGTCTGAGATGCAGGAAGAAAAGATGAACAAAGAAAGTATAGGTATAAATAAATCTAAATAAATAATGACTGCATAAAAGAATAATAATGCCAACTGAAGGTAGTTGTAAGAGGAAAAACACCAACAGAGAATGAAACTGCTGGACATTAGTAATTAAAAAATGGGGGAGTAAAGTGACCAGAATTAGACTATTCTATAGATTGTGATACTTCAGTTTTTGATCTGAGTGTACATGTTAAATATTTACTAATAACTCTAAAAGAAGAGAATAAACACTAAGTTTCAAGTCAATAGAAGGAAGTAAAAAGAAATTAACAGAATGAATTACAAATTCATGCTACCTAACTCCAATCTGGCCTTTACTATGGCTAGTCAATCCTTTCCTTCATCTATTGGCTCTATCACATTTCTTACAGTAACTTGTTCCCAACATTTCCAGGGAAAGTCCTCCTATGGTTATCTCGATTCTAGAAGATAACATTCTCTACCACTCAAAAGAATTTCAGAGCTCTCTGTAAATCTCCATCTGCCCTAGGTTAATAACAACTTTTTTTTTTACCAACAACTGAACCATTTCTCTCTATATACTACCAGTTTCATCTGCCTCTTACAAATATACTCAGTTTTGTTTTATCCTCAAACAGCCTTCCCTTACCTCTGCTACCTCTTTTAAAGTGAAGGCCTTCTTTCTTAGTTTCCAGTTCTAAATTACATATAATCCATAATTGCAAGGGGGAGAAAAACTTAGTTTCCATTTACTCCCTATATTCTCTCTTCTAACATGCCATTGAAAAATTAGCTGGGTTTAGGAATGATCATAGAAGGTTCCATAATGCAAAGAATGGGCATAATTAATTTTCTTTATGCGCACCATGAGTAAGTAGACACTGAATAAATATTTAAAAAATTTTAAAGTCTTTCATGTACCTAACTATTGCTTTTTTATATTTATAAAGGTTAGAAAATGGCTATAACTTAATCTATGTTCAAGTCTTAGAGCCTCTTACCCTTTTTCAGTTTCCGGACAGCCAACATACAATGACTAGGAGAGAGATCCCATATTCTTAAGGTTTTATCATCACTTACAGTAGCACAGATCGGCAGATAAGGATGTGTAGCCAAACCCCATACCTCTCCTTCCATGTGTCCCTATAAAGAAAACAGTATCAATTTAACCTAAAAATATATGCATGACAGGAGCTCTACACACCTGGTTACCAGTAAAACTGATATTAAAAAAATTAAAAACCCAACCATTTAAAGTTTGGAAATGGTTTCAAGGAGATACAACAAATGAAGAAACATTTATTCATAAAAAAATCTGCTAAAATTTGGTAAGAACAGTGAGAATCTATGGTATTTAAACTGAGATCCAGTGCTTTGTCCCTCCTCCCAAAACTTCATGCTGGACTGATACAAACAAGAACACCTGGCTGTCTCCACCGTTCCCAGCAGAAGAGCTGTCTTCCCAGTGAGGGTACCAAGTCAGGCATTCCTTATCTTGTCTAAGCTGTCAGTTGTGGAGGCTGAATTCCTGGTGAGCAGACTGACAGGCAGAAGTTCCCTTCTCCCCAGCCCCTACGCCATATGGAAACTCCACCACTGGTGTCCTAGTGGAAACCCAAGAAAACTTAAGAAGACCTTAGACTATTGCCCTTTCTATCTTTACCAAACACTCAGCCTTAAAGCCTGTCTTATTCTCAATTCAAGAGCCCTGACTCAGATATTTTCCCTGAAGGGAGAAGCAAGTCAAAACAAACAAACAAACAAAAACAAAAAAAGTAAAATAAACAAATTTAAAAAAACAGCTCCTAATCTCAAAGAATTGACTTTATTTATAGCAAAGCAGAGAAAAGTTAATGACTAGGAATTCTCTCAAAAACAGTGGAGGGATGGAAGTGTCAGTGTATGCCTGTGATCCCAGCTACTCAGGAAGCTTAAGTCAGGAGGAATTGCAAGTTCAAGCTTGGGTAACTTACTGCAAACCTGTCTCAAAATAAAAAGGACTGGGGATGTAGCAAAATGGTAGAGCTAGCATGTTAGGCCCTGGGTTCAATTTCTAGTAAAACAACAACAAACCACCACCAACAAAAAAACCCACAAAAAAACTGTGGAGGTTGTGATGAAAAGTAAACAGAAGGAGATTTATAGAATCATATGACATATGAATCTAAACTAGAGACCACCTAGTTTGTCCAAAGGAACCAGAGAATTCTCAGAAGTAGCTAGGAGGATCTTTGTTGAAGTCACTACAAACCTAGGGAAATGTTCCTTTAAAGGAGTCAAATTTGATTGGTTTAGTCTGTGGAACAATTTATACTTCAAGAAAGTATTGAAAAGAATAGAGCAGTCAGTCAGTAATTAAAGGAGTTTAACAGTTAAGTGTGGTCAAGGCAAGAGACAAAGTACAGGTAATACTTCCTACATGATTTTATAAAGCCGTTTCACTCTGATACCAAAACCAAACATCACAGGAAATCTACCAAGACATCACAAGAAATCTATAGACTAATATCCCTTAAAAAGGTGGATTCTAAAACCCTCTACAAAATCCTAGCAAACTGAATTAAACATATGGAAAGATTTTTATACAACTAAGAATGCAAGATTGCCAAATTAAAAAATCAGTTAAGATAATGTGTCACATTAATAGAACTAAGGACAAAAACCATATGATCATCTGAGTATACATAGAAAAAGTGTAAGATAAATCCCTCCCTACCAATGTTTAGAAAAAACTAGGAATAAGAAGGTGATTTCTCAACTGAGTAAAGAGAATCTATGAAAAAGCCATGGTTACATTATACTTAATGGTGGAAAGCTGAATTCTTTTTCTCTAAGATTAGGAATGAGACAAAGGTGTCTTTTCTAACCACTTAAACTTTAGCCAGGACAATAGGGCAAGAAAAAGAAATAAAATCCAATCAGATTGAATACAAGGAAATAAAACTATCTCTAATTACAGATGACATGATCTTATATATAGAAAATCCTAAATAATGTACTTATTAAACTATTATAATAAATGAAGTCAACAAATTTATTGGATATAAGGTCCTATTATAGGCTATATTATAGGCTATGTACGAAATCAACTGTCTTTCTCTACACTAGTAATGAACAATCTGAAAACAAAATTAAAAAGAACTGTATAATGGTATAACAAATAATAAAATACTTAGAAATAAATTGAACAAAATAGGTATAAGACTTGTATACTGCAAATCACAAAACCCTTGTGAAAAAAAGAAAAGGTCTAAATAAATAGAGAGCTATCCCATATTCATAGGTAGGAAGACTTAATCCTGTTAGGATTAATCCCTAAACTGATCTACAGACAGTGCCGCTACAATCGTCATATTTTTTTTTAAACATTTAACATTTACGTTAGGTATAAACATTCCCACATTTTTAATTAGTATAGTTTTATGGAGAATTTCTCAAAGACTTCTTGATCTTCTTTTCTCCTCTAGATGATCTTAAAAAATCTTTCTAGAATTTGTGAAAAATCTCATTAAAGTTTGAATTGTAATCATACTGAATCATACTGAATCTATCATTTATTTTTTCTTGGATAGTTTATCTACAAAATTCTGGGTTACTATGTAGTTGTTTTATGTGAACAGCATGTTTTTTTTTAAATATTTATTTTTTAGTTTTAGGTGGACACAATATGTTTATTCTATTTTTATGTGGTGCTAAGGATTGAACCCAGTGCCCTATGCATGCTAGGCAAACACTCTACTATTGAGCTACAACCCCAGCCCTGAACAGCATGTTTTATGTCATATTTTCAAACTTGTTATTGCTGTTACATAGAAATACTATTGATTTTCATATGCTGATTTTGTATCTAAACATTATTTCCAACAATTTTTCAGTTTATTCTTGATATACAAATTTGTTGTATCTAAAAATACCACCATTGTCCATTTATTTCTAGCACTTACACCTTTTATTGATTTGTTTTACCGAATTGGCTAAGGTTTTACCCATATTGGACAAAAATGGTAATGTGGTATCTTCCCTTGTTCCTGATTTCAAAATAAAAAGACATTGAAATCTTAAATTTATAATAAATTCCCCAAATAATGAAATTGGATGGGTGTATAGCTTAGTGGTTAGAGCACATGCTTAGCATGTGTCAGGCCCTGAGTTTAATTCCCAGCCTCCCCCCCACACACACAATGTATTAAAAACAATTTTAAATCCCAGTGCTTGAGAGGTCAAGACAGGAGGATCTTGAGTTCAGAGCTTGCCTCAGCAATGGCGAGGCACTAAGCAATTCAGCAACACCCTGTCTCTAAATAAAATACAAAATAGGGCTGGGGATGTGGTTCAGAAGTTGAGTGCTCCCGAGATCAATCCCCAGTACCAAACAAAAACAAAAACAAAAAAATTTTAATTGGGAGGTCATTTAGGCTGGGACAGCTTCAGTGCTTTAGGTGCCTATGTAAGATAACCAAAGCCCCATGTACAAAATAAAGTGAAACTAGATACTTTACCAATCAGAAACAGCCAACTAATCTCTAATTAAGGTTTTCCCACTCTAACCAATCAACTAGATCTTTGTTGTCCACATTGTCTGTAAAAGCTTGATGCCTGTGCTCCTGCAGCAGATTCTGCTGAACCTCTTCTGGTTTCAGATGCTGTCCAATTCATGAATATTTTAATGTTCAAATACACTCTGCTAATTTTATTTTGCCTAAAGTATTTCTCTTAATAAATATCATTTAGTACTTCTTAATTTTTTTTATAATTATGAAACTGTGGTTTTTAAAAATTCCATCTCTGAATTCATCCATCAGAGGGTACTTGTGCTAATAATTCCCAAGATATCATAAACATATTAAACACAGAAAAATGAGTGTATAACCGTATGATAAAATTTTATTGTTAAAAACATTTATTATGACTCCATTTTTAATTTCAAAGGCATTTATAAACTGAAATTGAGTAAGATAGCATTAATTTAATGTTTTATCATTTGCATATTTATTCTTTAATGTCATATTAATAATATAATAAAGCATTAAAGAATGTGCAGTGTTCTCATCTATGTGTACTTTTTGCTATCTTAACAAGAATGAAGTGAGGGTTAGAAGAGAGATAACTGAGTATTAAGAAAGAAAATAATTCTTTTTCAGAGTAAAAGGCAAACCAAAGTTTGATTACTATATAGAATTGCATAAGGACAGTTTTTCATCAGGATAGAGCCAACCTCACTATGTTTTACAGTGTTGATCTATTTCCCTCCTTACTTTTCAGAAAAATATAATACACTAAAGAAATGTACATGTAAAAACCTTATATGCCACTCTATGGAAATGTTAAGGGCCATATGGCCAACAGCTATTGCTGGTATGTTTATATTTCTACTACACAGATTTTTATATTTCTGATTTTCTGTTTTATTATTGACATACTTTGACTAATAAATGTTTTTAGCAATAAAATTTCATCATACAGTTATACACTCATTTTAAAAAATATTTTTATTTATTTATTTTTAGCTATAGTTGAACACAACATCTTTATTTTACTTATTTATGTGTATATGGTGTTGAGGATCGAACCCAGAGCCTCCCATGTTCGAGGGGAGTGCTCTACCACTGAGCCACAACTCCAGCCCTCATTTTTTTTAAGTTAGAAACTAACAATGACTCATCTACAGAGCTTCACAGAAAAATAACTGCCTTATGTTAAACAAACATACCTTAAATAGATAAAATTAAATCTGAAATAAATGTGCTGGGCTAAATTCTTTACAGCCAGTTTTTCTATTGGTTTATTTTGTAATAAGAATTAACTCAAAATATTGGCAATTATTCCATATGAGAATATGAATATTTATTTACTGATATTAGTGATAACCAAATTAAAATTTTTCTTTACATATTAACAAATATTTCCCTAATTAATATTATTTTTCACCACTGTCAACTTTTCTTATGTAATGAAAGAATAAATATTATGTAAAGAGAAAAAAGCATATTAGTATTTCAAAATACCTGGACCAGAAGTGTCACTGGGCCACTTTTATCCACTTCTAATATTTCACCATTCTTTGTGCCAACTAAAATATGACCATGACCTAATGATATGGCACGTATAGATGGGTTATCTTCCAAGAGAAGACCTGAAATGTTAAAAGGAGATGTTATTATATGTATGAAGTTATTAATAAAAGGACATATTGTGACACTATTATTTTTTAAAATATTAATTTTTTAGTTATAGGTGGACACAATATCTTTATTTTATTTTTATGTAGTTCTGAGGATCAAATCCAGTGCCTTAGGCATGGCAGGTAAGCACTCTACCACTGAGCCACAACCCCAGCTCGTGACAGTTATTTTGACAATGAACCCATACAAGGTTGATTTCTCCTGTATTTCAAGAATACACTGTAGTTCCTTCAATCGATTTATTAATTTCAAAAGAAGTACACAAATATAGTAGAATTTTTTTATTGTTTTTGTTGTTGTTTTAAGGTACTGGAGATTGAACTCAATATTCCACATATGCTATGTCAGTGTTCTATCACTGAATTATACCCTAACCCCTGACAACTCTTTCTTTACTTCTGTGTTAGCCCTTCCTCATCAATCTCCTGCCCCTCTTAGAACACTTACACTATTCTGATTAGCAATTTTAATTCAATGTAAAATATATTCTTTTATGTCTACTGTGTCCTACACAGGCTTCAGTGATATATTTGAAATATGACAAACCTAACTCCTCCCCTTAATAGCATACAGTGAGGAAAACAGACCCTGTGTTAGGAACATATTCAAAAAGGAGCATATAGCAAGGAAATTTCACCTTTTTGTGGGGAGGTGAGGATAGGGAAGTCATCCTAGAAGAAACAGTGTTTGAGATTTGAAAAATGAGAATGTAATTAGGAAATGGAGGAAGAGGGAAGAATAAATTCTAGGCAAAACTAATATGCCGAAAGTCTGGAGGCCAGACAGAGCATGGCACAGTGCCTTAAAGGAAGAAGTGCATTGAAAATAAAGGCAAAGGGAAGAAGGGCCTGTGAGGTAAAGTAGCAGGGTCAACAAAAAGCCCTGATCAAAAAAAAACCAAGTCAGAAAACAAGTTCCTGGCTGATGATAAATATGATGCTCACATGGAAATTTCCTTTGAAAAATTAAAAATATTAAAAGTTAATATTGATAAAATTGTACTTGGCTAATATTTTATTACATGGATCTCAGAAAACATATTTTTGAAAGAATAGCAATGATTCTGGTATCAATTAAGTCCCAATTAAATCTGATGCCCATTGAATAAAGAAGGAAAAATATATTCCATGTGGTCCACCTCAGTAGTCAAGTTAACTAATGAATAATTGATCTCTTTTTCTACAAATAAATTAAATCTCAAATCACCTTTGGATCCTGGGGCCAAAGCAGCTCTTTTTATAGCATAGGTCTTGAGACATCTTTCAAAGGAGTCATCCCAAAGAGCTACTATACCATCTTTTCCTCCAGTTACAAATCCCTATGAAAATAAAATATTCAAATTATTACAGATTTAAATATTTAAAAAAATAATAACCTCCTTCATATTGGAAAACTCTAGAGGAAAGACTACAGACAAAAGTTACAGCTTGCAAATAACAGGAATTAGATAAGAATCCATAACAGCTTTTAAAGAACTGACATTAAATCTGTAAAAATACTTAAAATAATAAACATTCTACTATTAGTATAGGATACTGATAATACTAATACTAATTTGGAATTATGAGTTAGATCATAATTTTTGACAACTGGTAAGGAATTAATAAATATTAAGTTAAACATTTTTTCAAAATGTTGACCTATTTCAATCTGTGTTTATGAAGTTGAAGAAAGGAACAAACCAAGGTCAAAAGACCCTGTCCCACAGACTATAATTAGGTAGTCCAGCCAAGAACAGCAGGGTTCCTATACTTCTGAAAATGCTCTATATGCCATGATCAGATTGTGTTTAATTTGAAATCTCTTTAAGTTACTTACTTTTTCCAGTGCATGCATACTGAACACAGGCCCATCATGTGCTTTAACTGTTTTTACAAGGAAGACATCTCTCCAGATACACACATCTCCTGTGGATGTTCCAGAAAAAGCCATCTCTTCAGTCCATCCATACACTGCACACATCATTGTGTCATTTTTCCCCAATGTGCCTATGTAGCCTTTTCTTCCAATCAATCCTCCCCCTGGTTCATAAAAAATATTACAAAAGTACCACTTTCAAAATATACACAATTATAAAGTACAGTTTCTTTTCTACTATTGTTGTTTGAGTAGAAAGACATGTAACAGTAAGAAGAATTAAAAAGAGAAATATGGATCTCTTAATCAGCAATTCAGATACCACCTTGCATGGTGTATTTTAGGCCATAGATTTTTTGATAAATAAGACATGGCCTAAGTCAGTATTAATCAGTCTTCATCATTTTTGATAATATTTTACAAAATTTTTAGTATGACATATTTAAGAATACAAAAGGTATTTTTTGTACCAATACAATAAACACCTGTATCCTCTATCAAAATACGAAAATATACCAAACCAAGTGACATGTCATGCCAATCCTATATCCCTTCTTCACATACTACTATTCTGAATGTAAAGTTGATCATTCTCCTGTATTCCTTTATACATCTTATTATGTATTTATTAATTCTTGAGTCATGTGTCATATGATTTTTCACATTTCAAAATTTTCTATAAATATCATCTTATATGTTTTCTTTTGCAACTTGCTTTATTCACCAAGGATTTGTCAGTTTTATACAAGTTGATTTTTACTTCTAGAAAACATTTTCATAACTATGGATTCATTTCATTACACAAACATTCGTTTATTCATTTATTCATTTTTTATTAACAAATATTTAAGTTGCTTCTCATTTTTGCTATTGAAAACAAATCTGCCTTAAACATTCTTATGAGGATCTCTTCTATACAATTGTAAGAACAGCTCAAGGAATGAGTAGGAATAGTCATAGAATAATGTGCAAAAGAAGCAATTTAAATAAGAGTAGCCCCAACTCTTCTTTCTAAATTTTTCTCCCAATTCAACATACCAACTTCCACTTCCATTAACAGTGAAAAGAGTTTCTGTTGTTTCCCACATTTAGGAACACTAAGGTACTGTCAAAAAATGGAATGTGAAATATCAAGTGAAAATTTTATTGTGGTCTTAATTTACATTTCTGTTAGCATAAATGAATTTGATCATATTTTCATATTTTTATTTGTTATTCATCACCTATTGATATCTTTTTTCCACTTTTCCAATTCATTTATTTAAGACATACACATGCCATACACTGTTCAAGGCACTGGAAGTAGAGCTAAGAACAAAACAGACAACAAAATTCTCTGGTTTTGTGAACTTTATATAGACAGTTAATGAATATGACAATTAAGTAAAATGTACAATAAATTAGGTAATGATGGGTGCTTTGGAAAAAATGTAAGCCTAAAAAGGATATAAGAAGTTTGAGGAGTCCATTGTAAGGGTGTGAAGGGAAAGCCTTATCACGATGGTGGTATCTGAAGTAGAATTGAAGGAGGTAGCAAGAGCAAACTGAGGGGCTGGGGTGTGGCTCAGCGGTAGCGTGCTCGCCTGGCATGCGTGCGGCCCGGGTTCGATCCTCAGCACCACATACAAACAAAGATGTTGTGTCTGCCGAAAACTAAAAAATAAAAGTTAAAAATTCTCTAAAAAAAAAAAAAGCAAACTGAGTTACAACTGAGTGTTTCAGGCAGAAGGAGCAGCAAGTGCAGAGGCCCCAAAGTAAGAATGTGACTAGAATCTTCAAGGATCAATCAGGAGAGAAATGAAGAGTATCAAAGAAAGTAATAGATTAAAGACAAGAAATTATATGATCATTCAATAGATACTGAGAAAAGCAGTTGACAAAATACAACACCTCTTCATGTTCAAAACACTAGAAAAACTAGGGACATACTTCAACACTGTAAAAGCTATCTATGCTAAGCCCCAGGCCCACATCATTCTAAATGGAGAAAAACTGAAAGTATTCCCCCTAAAAACTGGAACAAGATAGGGATGTCCTCTTTCATCACTTTTATTCAACATAGTCCTTGAAATGCTAGCTAGAGCAATAAGAAAGAAATTAAAGGAATATGCATAGGAAAAGAAGAATTCAATCTACCACTATTTGCTGATGAAATGATTCTATATTTAGAAGATCCAAAAAATTCCACCAGAAAACTTCTAGAACTCATAAATGAATTCAGCAAAGTAGCAGGATATAAAATCAATATCCATAAATCATTTCTATACATGAATCCACTGCAAGAGAAATTAGAAAAACCACCCCATTCACAGAATCAACCAAACAAAAGAGGTGAAATACCTCTACAATGAAAACTACAGAACACTAAAGAAAGAAATTGAAGAAGACCTCAGAAGATGGAAAGATCTCCCATGCTCTTGGATAGGCAGAATTAATATAGTCAAAATGGCCATACTATCAAAACTGTTATATAGACTTAATGCAGTTCTTATAAAAATTCCAATGACATTCTTCATAGAACTAGAAAAATCAATCATGAAATTCATTTGGAAAAATAAGAGAACTAGAATAGCCAAGGCAATCCTTAGCAAGAAGAGTGAAGCAGGAGGCATCACAGATCTTAAACTATATCACAGAGCAACAGTAACAAAAATGGCATGATTTTGGTACCAAAACAGACATGTAGACCAGTGGTACAAAATAAAAGACACAGAGACCAACCCACATAAATATGACTATCTCATACTAGAAAAAGGCATCAAAAATATACATTAGAAAACAGAGAGCCCATTCAACAAATGGTGCTGGGAAAACTGGAAATCCAAATGTAGCAGAATGAAATCAAACATCTATCTCTCACCTTGCACAAAAATCAACTCAAAGTGGACTAAAGTCTTAGACACTAGAACAGAAACCCTGCACCTAACAGAAGAAAAAGTAGGCCCAAATCTTCATCATGTTGGCTTAGGATCTGACTTCCTGAACAAGACTCCTAAAGCACAAGAAGTAAAATCAAGAATCAGTATGTGGGCTAGATTCTGACTAAAAAGCTGCTTATCAGCAAAGGAAACAATCAATAATGTGGTGAGAGAGCCCACAGAATGGGAAAAAGTCTTTACTACAGGCACCTCAGACACAGCACTAATCTCCAGGATATATAAAGAACTCAAAAAGCGTAACACCAAAAAAAGATAAATAACCCAGTCAATAAATGGGCTAAGTAACTGAATAGACATTTTACAGAAGAATAAATACAACTGATCAACAAACATATGAAAAAGTGTTCATCATCTCTAGTAATTAGAGAAATGCAAGTAAAAACTACTCTTCAGATTTCATCTCACTCTAGTCAAAACAGCAATCATCAAGTTTACAAGCAATAAAAAGTATTGGCAAGGATGTGGGGGAAAAGGTACACTCATATATGTTGGTGAGACTGCAACTGGTGCAACCATTATGGAAAGCAGTATGGAGATACCTCAGAAAACTTGGAATGGATCCATCATTTGACACAGATATCCCAGTCTTATACCCAGAAAACTTAAAAATCAGCATTCTACAGTGACACAGCCACATCAATGTTTATAGCAGCTCAATTCACAATAGCTGAATTAGGGAACCAACCTAGGTGCCCTTCAACAGATGAATGGATAAAGAAAATATAGTACCTATATACAATGGAATATTACTCAGCCTTAAAGAAGAATGAAATTATGGCATTTGCAGGTAAATGGATGGAACTAGAGAATATCATTAAGTGAAATAAGCCAATCCCCAAAAAACCAAAAGCTGAATGTTCTGATAAGTGAATGCTGATCCACAGGGGGATAGGAAAGAATGAAGGAACTTTGGATTGTATAGAGGGGAGTCAGGGGAGGGGTGGGCTTGTGGGGATGGGAAGGATGGTAGAAAGAGACAGACATTATTACCCTATATACATGTACAATTACACTAGTGGAGTGACTGTGAACCATGTACAGCCAGAGGAATGAGATATTGTGTTCCATTTGTGTATTATGTGTCAAAATGCATTCTACTGTAAAATTAATTAATTAAATTTTTTAAAAAAGAAAGGGAAACAATACTAGGAGATGGGTCAGAGGGTGTTTTGCAGGCCACTATAAGGGTATAGCTTTTACTTTGCATGGGATGGAAAATATTTGAGAAGTAGAATGATAAGATCTGGCATATGACTTATTAAAATATTTATTTTGACTTCTGGGTTGAGAACAGATTAAAGGATGAGGGGGATAAAAAGTTGTATGTCTATTTCAATCATCTGACTAAATGATTAAGGAGGCAAGGACCAGGATGGTAGCCTAGAAGATGAATAGTGGTCAGATTCTGAAAGTATTCAGAAAACCAACAAGCAGAGTCATTAATAACACTTCAAGAGCAGTCAGGTGACGTGGTGAAGGTTAGACTTCTCTCAAGAGAAAGAGGAGTAACTGTAAAGTGAAAGCACATAACTGTTTGGGGGTGCTTCAGTATATAGGAAACAAAAGGGACTGATTAGCAACTAGAGAACAGAATTGAAAGGTTTGTTTCATTTATTCAAGATGAAGAAATGGCCGGACATAGTGGCACACACCTGTAATCCTAGTGACTCAGGAGGCTGAAGCAGGAGGATTACAAGTTTGAGGCCTGCCTCAGCAACTTACAAAACTGTATCTTAAAATAAAAAATAAAAGGGCTGGGGATGTTGTTCAGTGGTTAACCATCCCTGGGTTCAATCACAAGTACCAAAAAAAAAAAAAAAAGATAAGGAAATAATACCACACTTAAAAAGTCAGAAAGGAAAGAACTGGAGTGGTGTCCTTGAGTAGATGAAAGGAGAAGAAATCTAGTGCACAAGTAGGGCAACTGGGCTTCATTACAGCACAGACTATCTGTCTAGAATGGGGTCAGCAAACAACTGGTTATAGGCCAAATCCTGTGGCCATCTATTTTATTTAAAGTCCATTGGAGGAGGTTAGCACTAGAGCCACAGAAAGCCTGTTTGATTTGCAGCTGCAGCTAACAGCTGCCTAGAACCTGATCTGGTCACCAACTATACGCTGAAGACTCTGCTAATGGCAACTGCTAAGCACCTAGCAGTGGAATAAGTCCAGTAGTTTCCCCCATCTTTGGCCAGTTGCCTAAGTTCAGAGGGTCAGGCTCTCAGAAAGAAGACACATTGGTATCTATGCTTCACTGGAACACATAGCTTCAGAGTGAAGCTGCCAATGGCTACCTTCTCCACCTGTTATGATTTGGATCTGGAATGTCCTTAAAAGTTCACATGTTAGAAGCATGGTCTGTAGGGATGCAGGGTTCATAAGTGAGGCTTTCCTTATGATTAGATTATAAGGACTCTGACCTCATCAAATGGATAACCCATTGATAGCTGAATGGACTACTAGGAGATAGTTGGAGGAAGTAGGTCACCAGGAGCATACCCTGCAAGGGTTCATCTTCTCCTCAGCCCCTTCTCTCTGCTCCCTGGCTGTCATGACTTGAGCAGATTTCCCTGCCTTACCTTCCACTATGATATTCTGCCTCTTCTTGGGTCCAGATTAATAAAGTCGGCCAACCATGGACTAAGTAAGGCCTCTGAAACTGTGAGCTAAACTAAACTTTTCCTCCTCTAAGATTTTTTTTTTTGTTGTTGTTGTTGTTGTTGCTGTTTTTTCAGTTATTTTGGTCACTGTCAAAAAAAAAAAAAAAGCTGACTAACACCATACTCCAACCTACTAGGCCCATTCCCTACAATAGTACAGTTTTGGAGAGTGTATTTCCAATTCATAGCAATTGGGAACAAATAGGGTAATCAAAACAGGACAATTTTTTCCCTTGTTCTCTAAGTATCTATGAATATTCTTCATTTTTGTCCTTTTCACCTGGAGAACCTAAAATATTTACTATCTGATTATTTGCAGAAAGTTTTCACTCCTGGTTTAGATAACTGATGGTTAGCCTTTCTGATACATATAATATAACATGTTCCTATTGCACAAGACCATGTCATTAACACTTAAAAACTTTCAGTGGTTCCCTATCCTTGGAATAGAGTTAAAATACTTTAGGGAGAAACCAATAATTCATAACTTGGAATTCCCAGTCTAGATTTGGGATAAGTGGCAAGAGAGACTCCATTTTAACCTCAGGTCTAATTCACCTCCTTCAACTTAATTTACCTAAAAGTATGCATTTAGAGTGTTAGACAATACTTAGAATAAGAAAATAGGTATTAATTTCCCACTTGGCTAGTGAACTCCATGGATCAGAACTCTAAAAGCGATGAAGGTTGAAATGTGCACTAAAACCCTAACATTTATCCTTATACGGTTCAGGTTCAAGTTCAGGTCAAATATATGTGTAATCAAATTTAAGGAAGAAAGTTACTCAGTTATATATCTTTTCATTTTAAGGCTATTTACTTTCTTTAAAATAACAAATTCATAGTTTTTGTTTTTAAGAGAAATGCTAAACAATACTTGCTGGCTATTTGTAATTTCAAGTGACTAAGAGGTCCAAATGAAAATTTTGTTCAATCATATGGAAATGAAATTATAAACATGAAAATACTTTTTCCTTTGTAAATGCATACACTATGATAAATCTGTGATAAAATATTAACTCCAAATCAGAAAAATCAATTTATTTCCTATGTAGAATACAACTTGAAAGGTACTCGAACTTGGGAAATGTCTTCACTAAGCCTCCTACATTTACATATTTTCTGTGAAAGATTTAAATTCATTGAGACATCAATGTGACATTGTTGGGACTTTATAAATATACTCATTCTATCTGGAAAAGGAAAAATATTTTTTATTTTAAGATGTGAGCTTCTATATTTGTAATTTACAGTTACGAATGACTAAATTAAAGGAACATTTTGCTTCTATATCATATAAAGAATTTTTACATAATTTTTCATTTTTAGTTTAAACTATAAATCATGTCTTTTAATAGAAGAAAGGAGTCTAGACAACCAACTGATTAATCTCATATGTTAATTCCTTTTGCAAATATGAATATTACATAAATGCATCTTTGTTTAAAATGCACCAACACAACAGTAAGTCACTTAAAAATAAATCTATCTTGGAAAATTTTAGATTTCCAAAAAAGATGCAGAGATAACATAGTGTTCCCATATATGCCTCCATCCAGTTTCCTCTAATGTTAACATCTTCTATTATCACAATTCCATTGTCAAAACTAAGAAACCATCATTTTTGATATATTACTATTAACTGAACCCTAGGTTTCATTCGGATTTCACCAGTTTTTCCACCAATGTCCCTTTTTTGTTCCAGAATCCAGTCTGGGATATCACACTGCACTTAGCTAAATTACTTTTTAAAATAACAATTTCTTGGGCTGGGGTTGTGGCTCAGTGGTAGAATGCTCACCTCGCATGTGCGAGACCCTGGGTCCAATCCTCAGCACCACATATAAAAATAAACAAGTGAAATAAAGGTGTATGTCCAACTACAACTAAAAAATAAATATTAAAAAAAGTAACAATTTCTTAATTTTCAAAGAAGTAAAAAGAAACACTTCCTTACCTGCTCTACGCCAAAATTTCATGTGTTTAATTCCAGCTGTAATCAGTTTATCAGGCATGTAGGGGTTCATCTTAACAACAAAAATCTTATCTTTACTTCCTCTGAAATAAATACAAAATTTTTAGCTCTGAAGACAAAGCTATCCTGTAACAACATTTTCCCTGATCCATACTCTATCTTTACTTCTCATTTTACTGAATGTCTACTTCCCACTTGTCCTTTGGGTTTGGGCTGTGAAGACATGCATTTGTATATTCACTTTGTGTGTGTGTGTGTGTGTGTGTGTGTGTGTGTGTGTGTGTTTCTCCCCCCCCCCACTCTCTCTTTTGACAGTACTATGAACTTAATCTGGGGCTGTTATACCACAGAGCTCCATCCCCAGCCCTTTTTATTTTTTGAAACAGGAGCTCACTAAGTTGATATGGCTGGTCTCCAACTTGCATCCTCCTGCCTTAGCCTCCTGAGTGGCTGGAATTACAGGCATGTGCCACTGCACCTGGCTTTGTCATTATTTTAATATGTCAACTATGTTCAACAGGTTGTCAAAAGATAGAAACAGTGAAAACTTCTTTTGAGTAGCACCTATGATACCTACAACTGTGCATGAGGAACATAGCTTATGACATAAATGAATTAAAGAATTTAAGTAATATTTCATTAAAATTTAACATAGTTTTTCCAACTATCTTTAATCATTTTAGATAATTAACTTTTCAATTGTAAATTATATAATTTTAGTAAAACAATTCTAATTTTCATCTTAGGAATTTAGGTTTCTTCATAGGAATATTTCTGATTCATCATAATAAAGAAATTAAAAATAAAAACCAAGACATTCACTATAGAAAAATTAGAGTGAAGAAAAATAGATTAAAAACCCCAATAACTTCTTTATATAGGTATATCTTTTTTCACTTAAATATATAATATAAACATTTTGGATGTTCACTGTTTATGTTATAACATTGCTGTCTAATAGGCTATTATACAGAATTCACTCTACCTGTAAATGGATAATTGAAGTAACTATTATTTTCAATGCCTTATTATAGTTACAGTATGAAAAGGGGTCCAGGGCTGGGGTTGTGGCTCAGTGGTAGAGCACTTGCTCAGCGTGTGTGAGGCACTGGGTTTGATCCTCAGCACCATATATAAATAAATAAAATAAAGGTACATTAATAACTAAAAATAAATTTTAAAAAATGCTCATAAAGACTCAGCTTACAAAGAAATTATAAAATCATTTATCTTTTACCTGATATTATTTATTCAAAGATAAAAAAGATGGTAGCATATTTGCTTGATTTCAAAATTATTTTAAAGTTTTTTTAATTCCAAAATAATTCTAGTATTTTGTCATATCAAGTTATTTCCTTACCTTGCCATTGAAAGTTTCTCTCCTTTCTTCCAGTCCCACAGTACAATGGTGTGGCTATCATCTATTCCAACTGAAGCCAAACGTTTCCCATCCGCTGTGACAATTAATCAGAGTGATATACTTACTGACCATTTACATTCAGAAGATAAACATTTTGTACGTATTCTAAAACTAAATGTTGTCATTTGAATGTAGTTTCCCCACAAGTTTCAGGTGCTAGAGGCTTGGTCCTCAGTGTGGTGATACTGAGTTAATAGAACCTTTCACAGTTGGGGCCTACCTTGAGGTAAAAACATTAGAGGGGGCTCTGCCCTCAGTAAGGAATAATGCTGGTCTTTCAGAGTGAGTGAGTTCCATGATAATGGGTTGTTATAAAACAGAAAACTTGACCCCTGAATCTCTCTGGCTTCCCATCTCACTACGTGATATCTCTTTCTTGCTTTCATTCCCACCATGATGCCATCTATCATGTTATGACACAGCCAAGGGGGCTCTCACCAGAGGCAGAACTAATGGGCCTACCTGTGAGCTAAATTAATTTCTTTTTTTATCTCACCCGACCTCATTTACTTTATCTGTCCAACTAATTGGGATGGGAAAGGGAAAGAGAAAGTGATAAATGTATGAATTAATGAATAGGCTAAAGACTCTGAGATAATTGTTACACAGTGTTTACACATATCAAAACATCACACTATACCCATGATCATGTACAATTGTTACACGTCAATTAAAAACAAAACAAAATCTGCAGGGAAAAAATGAAAAGGAAAGAAAAACTAAGAAAGGAGGGGAATAAAAGATGTGATTCCATTAAATTCACCATAAGAATTCTGTTGTGATAATAAGAACTCAGTAATCATGAAAAGCTAAATGAAAAATACACAGGTTACAATATACTGTCAACATTAGTATTACTGCTTTTAATGAAAGTCAATTATATGTTATTAAGCAACAAGTAATGAGTATATTAGATGAATCATTGAGACAAATGAATAATGAGACAGGCTGACAGGCTGTGTTTATACACAGGTTATAAGGCTTAGACTATAAGAAAATGTTTTCTATTTTGCCACACGTTTGTAAACCTTAATTAGTTCCTCAATACTTCCAGTGGCATTTTTGTTGTTGATCCACTTAATCTGTCATTCATTTCTTGTTTCTTGACTATTAGTCTCCTTGAAAGTATATATATATTTTCTCCTAAACCTCACTTATGGTTAACTTGTCACTTCAGTCAGAATAGCAAAAAAGCACTAATTTAATATAGAATTCTCTGCTAAGGATATTTTCTTCCCTCTTCCTACTCCACACCCTGGCTTTCAGTATAGACCTATCTTTAGTTGCTAATGTTTAAACATACTGAAAAGTGTAAGCATGTTCTGAAATTATAAGATGGCCTGAAATTGTCACTTAATAGAAATGTCTTAAAAAAATATTTCAGTTCTCATTTCTTTCATTCTTAACCTTTCACCATTAGCATTTTCAAAGTTTGTTCTGTAGCTATAAAACATTAAGATGAAATCAGATGTTTGCCCAAAGGAGAGATACATACCATTTAGTGTAACTGAGATGATTTTAAGTGTTCTGCAAATTTTTAAAAAAATATTTAATAGAAATCTACAAAGTTTAAAGGGTATTAAAATCATACTAATTGAACTATAATTAGACACTAGACAATGAATCTATACTTTCACTGCTTTATACTTTATGCACATTTGAAAAAAAATTGTGAAGGACATAGCTAAATCACAAGCTTAGGTAACACTGATTCAGATTAAAACTCTACATATTGCCTCTGCATTTGGATCATTCTTATTGAAATAGAAAATAGGCTTACCTGAGAAATCAACAGCACAGACACCATATTGGTGGTAGCCCTTTAATATTGACAATGGTTTAATAGTCTCTGTATCCCATATGTGAATTGAGGGATCCCTACCCACCTAAAATAGAATTATAAAAATCAATATATGCAATAAAGTTAATCATTTTTATATCTGCTAAAAGTAAATAAAACAAGATATTTTACAGTCTTTGTTTTATTTACTATAGAAATTTATCAAAAATATAAAGCAGACTGGATACATGACTGGGTTTTTTCTTAATATTCATTCAAAAGCCAATGAGGCTAGGCTCTGTGTTTCTAGGAATATTCTAGAACTATATGACTCCTCATAAATCTTATCCTATACTTCTTCAAAAATGATAATAAATGCTTGTTAAGCACTATTGTTGGCAGGATTTCTATGCCAGATACAACAAGTACTAAGACATTCAGGTATCTTTTCACTGGGAAAACAGAAAACTTTAAATTAATGAGATTTAAAAGGTCCTGAAAAAAAAGACTTCATGAATAAGATGGTACTAGAAATTGGGCCTTCAGAAAAAGCAGGACTTGGATACAAAGAGAAGCAAGCAAGCACATTTTAAACTAGGTGTAACCAAAGATTCAGATGGGATTAAAGCAATAAGCATATAAATGGGACTCTAAATAGACAATATCATTCTGTCATTTATCTTTTTAAAAAATTTGTTTTAGTTATAGTTGGGCACAACATATTTACTTCATTTATTTTTATGTGGTGCTGAGGATTGAACCCAGGGCCTCATACGTGCTAGGTGAGCGCTCTACTGCTGAGCCACAACCCCAGCCCTGTCATTTCTCTTTTAACTTGGTGCTCTAGCTTGGATCTGGAGTGTCTCTCCCAAGGTCCATGTGTTAAAATTTTAGTTGTCAATTGGTGGTACTATTGTAGAACCTTTAGAAGATGGGGTCTAGTGGAAGGAAGTTGGGTCACTGGGAGATGCCCTTACAGGGGTCCCAGACCCTTCCTCTTTTTGTGTTTGATTTTGTTTTGTTTCTTGGCAACTTTGAGGTAAGCAGCTTTGCTCCACCATGATGCTCTGCCTCACCACAGACCCAAGGTAATGAGGTTAAGCAACTATGTATACTGAACATTCTGAATCTGTGAACCAAAATAAATCTTTCCTTCTTTAAGTTTTTTTTTTAATCTCAGGTATTCTGTCACATTGATAGAAATCAAATTAACACACTTAGTTTATGGTATTCACTTATATACAGGTAATCTATCATGTTTTAACTATTCCTCAAATTCAAGTAATTGCTCCTCTAGCTTTAAGAATCATGATATATTTGTATATCATGACAGCTCCTGAAATAATATGACTGTTAATTTAATTATACTATATTTTGTTTTATATGAAGACATAACATAAAACAACACTAAAAGCAGACAATATTTCACTAAATTATTCAGTTAAACATTACTAGTGGCTTTTAAGTTTTCTTTTTAAATTTTGCAGGTTTTGATACTTCTGATTTTACAGTACTACTCTTACCTGGTTCTCTGGTCTTCTCGACTCTTGCTATGTTTTTTTCATCACCCGTTTCTTAAATGCAAATCTCCCTCAAGAGTTCATCTTTAATTCTACAGGCTTCTTATTCTAAATTTTGCCTGAGGTATCTCTTTCACAGTTTCAGTGGTTAAATCAACAAGTGTCTCCTAAGTCTTACTCTCTAATCATTATTTTTTTCCTGAATTTAAGACTTACACTTTCAACTACCTACTGGACATATCATCTACAGATGATGATGATAATGATGATAATAATGATTAATAGTAATATACTTGCATTCACTGAGAACTCACTTATGTGCCAGAAATTGTTCTATATACCTTACAAAGGTTAACTCATTTCACAATCACAAGAACCCTATAAGATAGGTATTGGTAGTATCCTTATTTTAAAAGACGAGAAGCTACTTAGGAGGTTGAGGCAGAAGGATCAAAAGTTTGTAACTTAGCAAGACTTTGTTTCAAAATAAGTAAAAAGAGCTGAGGATGTACCTCAGAGGTAGAGTGCCCCTGGTTCAATCTCCAGTCTCTCTCTCTCTCTCTCTCTCTCTCTCATACATACACACACATCTCCAAAATAAAATTAATTAAAAGTGAAATTTTTTAAAAAACGAGGAAACAGGCACAGAGATGTTAGTTAATTTTCCAACAGATAATAAATGGAGAAGCATGGTCTTGAACATCAAAATCAGTCTGGCTGAAGAACAGACAATATTTTTGGAGTATACCTGTGATATTTCATTTAGGGATACAGGGAGATTTATCAGTCAGCTTTTCACCACTACAGCAAAATACCTGAGATAACAAACTTAAAAGGAGGAAAGGTTTCTTTTGTTTCATGTTTCCCAATCCATGGTTGCTTGGCCCCCTTGCCTCTGGGCCCATGCAAGGCAGAACATGTCAGGGAGTGCAAGACAGAGGAGGCTGCATACTTGATAGTGGCCACAAAGTGAACAAGAAAGACAGGAAAAGCCAATATCCCTTTCAAGGGCACACCCTCATGAACTAACTTCTTCCACGAGGTCTCACCTGCCAAGAGGTCATTCTTTGTATTCTAGTCTCCAACAAAACAAAACAAATCAAAACACTCTTTAGATTTGTTAAATTCTAAAACACCCACATAAAATCCTCCAGAATCACTTTTCTTTTTAATAAAAGGTTCAATTCCAATCAGTTTTAACACTTTTTATAAATTTATAGAGATGTGACTGGTTGACTGTAATATTACAGAGATAAGAAATGGAAAATGGTGGGAGAAGTTGAAAAGGCTATGTAAGCCTGTGTCCTAGGAGATAGACCTTGAGTCTGCAGTGCCTAAGGCAGAAATGCTATTGTGTAAGCAAAGGAGCTATGGCTTGATGGGTATGAAGAGATGTCCAGTGTCATACTGACATTTTATTTAATCTGACCTGAATTCCCTTAAATCCCAGAATCATGGTAGTAAGTGGCCACTTTCTACACTGTCTTCATTCCAGCAATATCAGAATAATGGTTCAACTTCTTTGCCAAAGCACCTGGGTATATAACTATGCTTCAAGAGGAACCCTTTATATGGCCTAAAGGCAGGTGATGCCCTTCATGCCCCCACCTATCTTTTTGATTAGTTCTTTCACTAATGTCTATCATGCACTCTAAGACTTGAATACTGTGGGCTATTCACAGTTCTTTAAATAAGCTGCGCTTCACCTCACCCCCTAATTTTACAGATCATATGACAGACTTAGGAATGCTTTCCCTCACTTTCCCTCTGCTAGTAAACTATGCAGCATAAATGTTATACCTGTTTCCCTGATTCTACTGGGCACAATTCATGAGTCCTTCTTCACTACACTCTCACCAGATTCTACATTTAAAAATGAGGTGATTTTGCCTCCTAGGGACAGCTAGCATTGTCTAGAGACATTTTTGGTTAGCATAACTCAGGCAGATGGGTTACTGGCATTTAGTGAGTAGATGTCAGGGATGCTGCTCAACATTCTGCAATGCACAGGTTAGCTTCCCACAACAAAAAATTATCTGGCATAAGTCATCAATAGTGCTGAGGTTGAGAAATTCTGGTCTGTAATTGTGACACAGTATTATAATTTTTCTTGCATGTATGTCTTCTTATTTATCTATATATTTCCAGTACATTTCCTGGCAATATAGAATGTGCTTGATAAATGTTTTTGAATAATGGAAGAAACAAAGGAGAAATGGTAGGGGAGGAGAGTAATGGAGAAGAAAAAGAGGCTCATCAAGGCACAATGGGCAGGAGGAAGGAAAAGAAAGAAAAAAAGGTTGAGTTTTCTTTCCTCTCAGGGAAGCTATATAGGATGATGCATGTTACCTCCCTGACCCCTACAAAACTGAGAATGTAAAAGGGGAGCCAGGCATGTTAGCACATGCTTATAATCCCAGTGACTCGAGAGGCAGAAGGATCACAAGCTCAAAGCCAGCCTCAGCAATTTAGCGAGGTCCCAAGAAACTTACTGAGACTGGTGATTAAGTCCCCCTGAGTTATATCCCCAGGAACAACAAAAATAACAAAAAGGTTTTTTTAAAGGTGTATTTATACAGTGTAGAAAGTCTGATAGACTAAAGGCTTTAGACTTTACTACTTAACAGCTGAGTGATCTTAAGAAAATTATTTAATTTCTCTAAAACAGAACTTTCTTATTTGTAAAGGGAAGAAAATGATTTTACTCTCATGGAGTTGAGGAGGGAATACAATGAACTTACAGTCAGAAACTAGTAAAGTATTTACAGAGTAAGAATCAACAGGGCTGAGGTTGCGGCTCGATGGTAGAGCATTTGCCTAGCATGTGCGAGGCACTGGGTTCAATTCTCAGCACCACATATAAATAAATTAATAAAATAAAGGTCCATCAACATCTAAAAAATTTTTATTAAATCTACAGACATTATTCTTTCCCTTGCTTCTCTACGATATCTATGTAGACATGTATCAACTAAGACTTTTCTCACTGATTTCTACTTCAATATTTGTGCTTTCTATCCCTCCCCCACAAGGCATAGACACCTTTATTTAAGACAGCAGATATACATTTAAGGGAGAATGTGGACCAACTCAAAGAGTAAGAGATACATTCTAGGGGTTTCCAGCTCTTCTTTTAAAGGAAACTTGGTGAGGGGAGGGTATAGGAAGAAATATAAGAATGGTGTCAATCTGGTGATCTCAAGATGGTTTCTGGTGATCTGGTCAGTCTCAGGATCCCCAGACTGCCATGGTCCTCATCTTATCAGGTGACAGTGCTGGAAAATCCCCTAAATTATAGGTTCTTCAAGAAATAGGCAGAATTAATATTATCAAAATGACCATACTTCTAAAAGCACTATTCAGATTTAATGCAATTCTGATCAAAATCCCAATGGCATTCCTCATAGAAATAGAAAAAGCAATCATGAAATTCATCTGAAAAAATAAGAGACCCAGAATAGCTAAAGCAATTCTTAGGTAGCATCACCTTAAACTATATTACAGAGCAACAGTAACAAAAACAGCATGGTATTGGCACCAAAACAGACTGGTAGACCAATGGTATAGAATAGAGGACACAGAGAGTAACCCTCAAAATTACAATTATCTTATATTAGACAAAGATGCCAAAAACATGCATTGGAGAAAAGAGAGCCTCTTCAACAAATGGTTCTGGGAAAACTGGAAATATATATGCAACAAAATGAAATTAAATCCTTATCTCTCACCATGCACAAAACTCAACTCGAAGTGGATCAAGGACCTAGGAATTAAACCAGAGACCCTGTGTCTAACAGAAGAAAAAGTAGGCCCTAATCTTCATCATATGGGATTAGGCCCCAACTTCCTTAATAAGACTTCTGTGGCGCAAGAATTAAAACCAAGAATCAAATAATGGGATGGATTCAAAGAAATAGTATCTCTCAATGAATTTACTGGAAGGTTAACTAACAGTACAAAGGAAGATTTACAGATTTTCCAGGAACTTGTGATTGACAGATCTGGAAGAGAGACTTAGTCTAGGAAATCTACATGGAACTTCTGAATTAATCATTTACATTTCCAAAATTATCTACCAAAACCTAAAGAAAAATAACAGTATAGTTTTTTTGCCTTTCTTGTTCTCTTAGTTCTTTAAATAGCTCATGTTTCTTTTCTGCTGGTTAATATGAACGCTTTTTATATTTCCTCCTTTTTACTGTCAGTGAAATTGCCAGTCATTTATTTCATTTATAACATTTCTAAAAAGTTTACTGTTCCCCAAGTGTCAGTTCTTTTTCACACTGGCAAATTGAAATATTCCATTCTCACCTTCCTCTGGTTAAAAAGTCTACAAAGATCACTATTTCTATGTACAACAGGATTGATTATGTGCTTTCTATCATGGTTAACTTGAATAGCTTGCTATCATGATTGCAAAATATAAAGCACTGTCATTCTGTGTTGTCACAGAATGTTTGTTAAATATCTTATTATTTTAAGTAACTCAATCTAACGAAACCAATTTCTAGTCTTCATCTTTTCTATAACTACTCACAAATTTAAAAATATACATATCCTGACAGAAATAAAATTAAGCAGTATTCTTAGTTCAAAATTAAAATTCAAGAAATAATAATCAAAAAATTTTTGTCAGTATTGGTGATTGAACTCAGGGCATCACAAGTGCTAGATCATACTCTACCACTAACCTACTTCCTCATTCCTTAAGATAATAATAATTAAAACAACTATATTATAAGGACAACTGTAGGGAAAAAGTTGAGGTAAACTTCATAATATGAAAATAAAATCCCATTCAAAACAATTCTTTATTCTCCATTTTCTAGAAAAAACACTCTCTCTCTCTCTCTCTCTCTCTCTCTGTGTGTGTGTGTGTATATATATATACACACACACACACACACACATGAATGAAGTAGACTAACCTAACTCAGAAAAGGTCTAACCTATCAGGCTTTTGGTCACATAATCTTTCAAAGGAACTTACCTGGCCTGTAGCCACATAGTCTTTCAAAGGATGAATAGCCAGACAAAGAATATCATCATCATGACCCAAGTAAAAACGCTGTGTGTTCTGTTGTCTATTGTAAATGACACCCACTGCTGCCACATGGTACACAATTTCACCAATTTGAGTATAAAACAGATTACTTCGACAGTCGTAACCTCTGTAACTAATATAGAAAACAAATCATATACAATTGGTTTTGGTCTTTGATCTAATCTATACAGAGAAATAGGTAATTTTAGGGTCATTTAATTTCCAGTTTTAAAGGATGTTGAACAATTAAAGAAAACACCACCTTCTTAGAGCTATAAGCATTTATGAACTGCTCTGATTACAAATAGCTAATCCAAACCATAATACTGAGCAAAAAAAAAGCAAGGTGCTGAAAAATATATCTAGTATACTATTAATTGCATGTGTATAATATTAAATTTATAAAGACAAAAACAGTTACTTTTTTAATAAATAAAAGGGTATAGAAAATAATACATATCTGTTTATAAATGCATTTTTATTTATCAAACTAAGTAACAGTGATTGCCTGAAGGGAAATGATGGTTGGGAAGGCAGAAGTGAGAGGAAGGGTTTAAATCCCTTTTATGCATAATGTTGAACTGTGAAAACATATATTTCAAAAAGAAATTTAAAAAACAATTTTAAGGGGCTGTGGCTCAGCAGTAGCACACTTACCTGGCGTGAGTGAGGCACTGGGTTTGATTCTCAGCAACACATGTAAATAAATAAGGAACTATCAACAACTAAAAAAAATTTTTTTTTAAAAAAGCAATTTTAAAATATTATGCTCAGGAAAAAGTAACCAAATCTTTTTAAAAATATTATTTATTTATTTATTTATTTTTTAGGTGGACAATTGTGCCCACCAAAAAATAAATAAATAAATAAACAAACAAATAAATGATATTGTTTTTACTTTTATGTGGTGCTGAGGATCAAATCCAGTGCCTCACGCATGCCAGGCGAGTGCGCTACCACTTAAGCCACGTCCCCAACCAATAACCAAATCTTAAAATGTCAATATAATTCTGTCTGTAGCAACCTTGCTTTGTGCTTCAAAGAAACCCAATTTATAAAGCACAACTGAATAGAAATATTGCCTATTTTACCAGTGGAGAGAAAATAATCTTAATAAATAAATCCATTCTCAAATTCTTGGAAAGTATTATCAGTCTGATAAGAAAATGAGGGCTGGGACAGGGGTAAATAGAATCAGATTGGAAAACCTGTTGCTGACAAGCTGACATATGAAACTTGTATTGCCAGATATTCTAAGAGAATCCAGAAATTCTAATATTTTACTGAATTAATACACAAAAGCCAAAATGCTCAGTCAAAAAGAAAGACAATATTATTTTAAATTAGTCACATTTAAGGAAGATGATTATCTCATATTTTTAAAGACAAGATGTCCAATTTAATAATACTGAACTTCCATAAGACAAATTTATTTTTAATAACTTTTTAATATTTATTTTTAACACTTATTCAGTGCTTATTATGTTCCAGGCACTATTCTACGTCAACAATATCATAGCTTTATTTGCTCCTTATCAGAACTTTAGGAGGTATTGTTATCTCCATTTTACAGAGAGGTTAAATAACTTGTTTAAAGGCACACAGTTAGTAGAGCTAGTCAATTGTGTGACTTGGAGCAAGTTACACAGTAAGTGTGAACTAAAATTCAAACACAGAAATGAAAAACAATTGTTTCATACCCATGAACAAAGTGTAATCGGATACTATTTCCTGGAGCCTGTTCTCTTCTTTTAGAAGTAGCACTTTTTTGTTTCTCTTTGCATTGTTCTTTAAGCTGAGGTAGATCTTCTTTGTAAACCTTTAAAAATGTATATAAGTAAGAAGGCATTCATAAAGGTGCTCATACCCCTAACATAACTTTTAGACATATGGTTACTATTAACCAACTTTAGCAATTGTCTTCAATAGGAAGGTACTTTTACAAAATGTACTTCTTTAGAAAGAACAAACTCACATATTTAGTGTTCCAGGAAATCTTTATACTTAAGAGAATATTTCAAAGGGAATAACTGGGAGTGTACTGTTTCAAAAATCTATAGGCAAAGAGAATACAGGCATACTTAGTATATCAAGCATTTTAACATAAAAGAATAGTTTATACAAGTGTGCTTTAATGTTTAAAGTGAGAAAACTGAGTCATACACTACTTGGGAATTTAAGCCACAAAAGATAAACAGATACACAGCAGGGAACAAGATAAAGAAGGAACTGAACTTTCCAGGGGAAAAAAATTGTTTGAATAGAAAATTACCTGCCGACGATAGGTGAGCTGTGTCTCTTGTTCAATTTCAGAATCCAGTTCTGGAACATCAGACAGGTCTGAATCTGATTCATCACTGTTAGAGTCAGCCAGACTTTCTGTAATTTTTGAAAATGAAATGTCATTTGTTTAAAGAAGATTTATTTTCAAAATAGCAATGTAAGATTAATGATTAAGAGGTAGGTCAATTGACATGGAGACAAGCCATAGAGCAATCAAATGAAATTACCTATTCAAGTGACACAGATGTGAGTAAACTGTACTACATATTATCTTCCTCTCCACTCACTGCAAACTCAATAGCTCCTTTAAATCCCTTCATTGGCTCCCCCAATGACTGCTACATCAAATTTAAATGTCTGTGCAAATATAAGTGCATATAACCTATAGTTACCATGAAAATAGCTAAAAAATACTGCACATAGCAAAATAATTGACATTATATATAATATTTATATATATATAATGTCAATATATATATATATTTTTTCTCTTTTTAAAAAAGTATACATAAAATCTAAACACTCATCTCTGATTTTATTACGTAACCATTTCTTTACTCATCATTTGACAAACTGCAAACAAAAGTACTTTATATCCCATTCTTTGATATCTGACTTAATATAGATCTAAGGTTTAATTTGAAATTTCTGCTAATAACAAACTATACTATGAATTTATAAAACTAGATTATATTTCAATGGTAAAATTGTCATCTTCAAGTTTTTGAAGAGTTATTTCATGGGGAAATTGTTTAGGTGATTCATACTACTCACCTTGGGGTGCTATGTGAAGAGCATCTTTTAGTTTTCTTTCAGGAATAAATTTCCACTGAAAGACAGAGTGATCTGCTCCACCAATAGAAATAACCCACTGATAATCATGTGACCATCTGACATTAGTTACATGAGCTGAATGGCCAATGTATTTTTTAAACTTGGCCCCTATAATAAAAATATATCTTTAAATTATGCACAAATTTCAACATACAAAACACTACTGCAAATAGCAAATTTCCATACATAAATCATTGCATCATCCTTCCATTGTCTTAATTATGATTAAATGGAAAAAATGCTAATTCAAAAATGGGTAAAATGAACAAATAAATGAATTTATATTGAGAGATGTAAACATTATTTCCTCTACTACTTCACAATATAATTTGGTAGAAACTACAAAAGCTGTGAGGCATTATTTTACTGCTTTTAGAAAAGCTGGGGATCAATTGTTTTTGTTTTAAATGGACACAATATATTTATTTCTTCATCCATCTATCTATCTATCTATCTATCTATCTATCTATCTATTTATTTTTTATGTGGTACTGAGAATCGTACCCAGTACCTCCCAAGTGCAAGGCAAGCGCTCTACAAAAGCTGAGCTATAACCCCAGCCCAGGATCATTTGTTTTAATATTAGGACAGCTGACTATTTTGTCCTGAGGCCTTCGGTCTTAAGTGAAGGAGTAATCTAATTCATATCTACTCTTTTTCTTTCTCAATCCAAAAGATATTACTACTAAATTGGGCACAGTGGCACATGCTTGCAATCCCAGTGATTCAGGAAGCTGAGGCAGGAAGATTGCAAGTTTGAGGACAGTCTCAGTAACACAGCAAGACCATCATCAACTTAGCAAAATCTCAGCACTACATAAAAATAAATAGAGATATTGAGTCAGACTACAACTAAAAAATAAATATTTAATAAAAAATCTTGTTTCAAAACAAAAACTAAAAAGTACTGGAGACGTGGCTCAGTGGTAAAGCACCCCTGGATTCACTCCTCAATACTGAACTGAAATAAAATGTATTATCAAATCAGATACAACCTTTTCCTAATCTTAAATTGGACAATATAACTTAATATAAAAGAGATTTTTTCTAGTAATAATGCTAAAGTATTCAAGCATGTGAATTCAATAAACATAGAATCTTAAAATATCTCTACTAATTATTTAAATATGCAATAGTAATATCCTATCTTTTCTTTCACTTACCTAGCTATAGTCTCAAGCTGACTCACAAGTGCCTAGAAATAAAAATCATCCTTACCATAAAATAAATTACTAACAAAAAGGAAATAAGAGAGCTGGGGTTGTAGCTCAGTGGCAGAGTGATTGCCTAGCATGTGAGAGGCACTGGGTTTGATTCTCAGAACCCCATATAGACAAAACATTTTTTTAAAAAAGGAAACAAAGAAAAACAATATATGTTCTTGAAGCAAGGAGAAATCTCTTACACAAAACTAATTTTATTAGACTTTGGTTAAATATTCACATAGTAATTCAGAAGACTACTACATATTTCATTTCATTATATAAATGAAGTAAAATTATTAAGCAAAAATAATACTGTCTTCACATTTGCAAAAGATAAATTGTCAATAAAGCCCATTCAATTGACTTAAAAAACTCAGAAAATTATAGTATTTTGTTTTTACATGGAGGTCAGTGTATGTGAAGCAATTAATGGGAGCAATGTCTAATGTTAAAATCATCATAATTATTACTGAACCTCGACAAGCAGACAAGTATCATCTTAAGAGTTGTCAGGCATGGTGACTTTCATGTCCTGGCTATGTGGTGGGATCTAGAAACAGGGTACTTTATTTATTTAATTTTTTTCAGCTGTTGTTGGACCTTTATTTTATTTATTTTTATGTGGTGCTGAGGATCGAACCCAGTGCCTCACTCACACTAGGCAAGCAAGCAATTTACCACTGTGCTACAACCCTAGCCTGAAACAGGGTACTTTAATTGCTAGATATTTAGCTAGTCTTTATTAATATACTTAGAGTTACATATGGAAGAATTTGTATGCATCTGAGAAGCTGACATCACACAGGCAGAATCAATAACATGGCAAAGAAGACAGGATCCTGAACTCATTATTTCACTACAGAGGCCCAGTAGAAATACCAGCCTCGGCTTCTGAGAAATTTGAGCCTTTAAGTTTGATATCAGTGGACTACATATCTGATCAAACTATATTAGCTGTTCCAATAATCTGCATTCTAATGTTTGTCCAATAGCTTTTATCAACAAGCCAAGTAAATCTCATTATAGCATCTGCTATAAGTATGGATGTTCTAGAACATTAACTGCACCTAATATAAAGATCCATGCATAGAAAAGAATTCTTTGACAATTAAAGCTCAGAAGAAACTTGGATTTCCCTAAGGAATAAGAATGAATTTTTTAAAAATCCACAATGAAAACTATTTTGTGCCCTGATTCATTTTATTTTTGTTTACAGGAAGCTCAGAATCAAATTTGATGTTCGGCTACTATCATTTTCTTTATCTTGTTTTAATGTGTACTTCTATTTATATTTCCTCTGGTACTGATTCTTTAATTATTTCAGTATTTATGGACTTATTATAAATTGATTTAAAAACTTTATGAAACAATGCATGGAACAGATGAAAGATTACTAATATAGCATTTCATTCAATGATCCCCAGATCTGTGAATAGAATGATTGATATCATCATTTTAGAAGACATCCAAGAAAAAAGGATACATAAAGTATAGAGGAAACAACAAAAAATCATTTTTAGATCTACTATTGAAAATCAATGTCAAAACAAATAACGCTAAAGACTTAAGCAAAACATGCTCATTCATCAAAACCAACAAGTTAGTAAGTTCTGAGTTTATACACTTGACTACTTCCTTAGAAGTATTTATTTCCTTTATTTCTTGAGAAAATAAAATAAAATTTCTCCCAAAATATATGTATACAATAAGCTAAATTATTAAAGATAATAAGTGATAAGAAAAGTATAACCATCGTTGCAATTTAACTACATGAAGCAATTCAGGAAGTGGGAGGGAAAAAAAAAACAGGTCTTGGGGATGAGGTTGTGGCTCAGTGGTAGAGTACTTGCCTAGCATATGTGAGGCACTGGGTTTGATCCTTAGCACCACATTAAAAAGTAAATAAATAAATAAATAAAGTTACTAAAAAAAAGAAGAAACAGGTCTAGTCCATTTGTTATAATGTATAAATTCAAAATAATTTCATAATAAAAACTTCATGACCAAAAATAAATGTAACATATGACAATAATACAGAACTTGCAAAATAAAGGCCTTTACCAAGAAGTATACATTTTTAAAAATATGAAATCCTGTTACCTATTTCAAGATTGATTTTCTGCAAGAACATAAGTCTTTTATAAGAGCTTACTTAAAATATTTAAAAGAAGAGATACCTTTTCTTAAACATGGATATCGGAATAATTTTATAATTCCATAGTCATCAGCTGTAACTAAAACTTGGCCAATATAATTTCCATCTACTGAATTTATATCATTGGTATCTGAATATTTGGGCCAAATTCCATTTACTTCAAGGCCTGAAACACATGTCCATGAAGCCCAATGAACACCTTTGAGTTCTTCTTTACTTGTCACTTCTTTTCCCCCTAAAAATAAATCAGTCTGAATTTAAGAAGTTATTTCACTTACTTTTTTACTCAAGCTTAAATTTTACTGATAACATGGTGATCTCAAATTTTAAATATTTCCCACCCCAATTAGAGGAGACTACAGGAAAAAGTAAGTGTGGCTAAGGAGAAAACAAAATGCAAGAAGCTTTTTAAAGAAGCCACCAATGGAATTATACCAATTCAGAGACATACATAGATTTAATATGATTTATAGCTTAGCAGGTTCACTGTGTGAATTCTATTAAAATAATGACACAGATTAACCACAACAGGGTGAGTTATAAGAGAAGTAAAAGCTATGAGAAAGTGGCTATGAGAAACCTAAGACACATAACTGACAAAGAGAACTAAAAAATACCAAAAAAGGTAGGATTGGTGGAGAGTAATACATTTACATTTGGTAAAAGAATTTTAGGACTCAGTAAATTTTCATTACATATAGATCACTAATGAAAAACTTTTTCAGAAAAACAGTAATTTATGTGGCTCATCTTATTTAATAAGTTCTTAGAAGATAGGGACTAATTAAACATCATATTAACTAAAGTACTAAAAGGTTAATGTTTTAATGATTGTTTTTATTCTTCTATTTTTAAATCTTTGATTTAGTTGTTAGCTAGATTATTAGTATTTGCAAAATTTATTTGAGGAAACCACAAACAGATAAATAATTTATGGTCACACATTTGTAGCTATTTATTTAGTTTCACCCAAAAAATGACATTTGACTCTTTAATACACAGTGGAATTTTACCATATACTAGTCACATGGTGTGAAATTTAATATAAGTCTGTCTTCAATTCTTCAAGTAAAGGAGGTTTAATTAAGAAACAAAAGAATACAGAATGGTGGTTTCCAGGGACTGGGAGAAGTGGTGGGGATGGGGAGATCTTGGCAAAGAGTACAAAGTTTCAGTTATACAGGATGACTACACAGATTTAATGTATAGCATGTTGATTGCAGTTAATAATATATTATTGCATAGTATACTTTAAATCTGTCAACAGATATGATATTAAATGCTCTTACCACAAACAAAAAAATGGTAACTCTGTGAAGTGATGAATACATTAATTAGCTTGATTGTGGAAAACATTTCACAAGGTACAGCATATGTACATAAGGACATCACACTGTACATTGTAAATATACACAACTTTTATATGTCAATTGTATCTCAATAATCCTCAGGGGGGGAATCCTAGAGAATTTCAACATAATGTGGTAGCCCTATAGAAAAGAAATGCTTGAAATGTTAGCTCAGTTCATCCTTTCATTTCCTATGCTCAAATGAAACTTACTTGCTGCTTCTTGTGAAATTCTAAAATATTTTATAGACACTAAAAATCTACAAACTATATATGTTTTACTAGAAAAATTTACCTGGCATCCTATAAAAAAGTCTTTTCCCATTTCCATCATTTGTCTGTAAATATCTACTATCTGAGGACCAGTCCAGATGAGTGATGAAACTAAGTGATCCAACACATTCACCAACTTTTTTATAACGCTGAGCAACTCCATAAATATCAATTGAGCTGTCATTGCAGCCAACAGCAAGGTAAGTTCCATCTGGTGAATATTTTAACTCATGAATTGCTTCCTTCCTATCTTTAATATGTACAACTTCCGTCATATCTCTGTTAAAAAGAAAAAAATGAGACCATGTGAACAATGTCACAGCAAAATTCTGTTTTCAAAAATGACCATAAGGCTGTACCAAATGTTTATAAACTATAAAATAAATGTAAATAAATACTATTAGTTCAGGAATAATTATTTTGGGGACAATAACTGTATGTCAGAAGTAGAGAAAAATGGGGCTGGGTTGTGGTTCAGTGATAGAGCACTTGCATAGCAAGCATGAAGCCCTGGGTTTAATCTTTAGAAGGGAGGGTGAGGATGAGGGAGAGGGAGGGAGAAGAAGACAGGGAGAGAGGGAGAAAGAGAGGGAGAGAGAGAGAGAGAGAGAGAGAGAGAGAGAGAGAGAGAGAGAGAGAGAGAGGAAGAGGGACTGAATTTCAGTTCATAAATTATCTGTACATTGTTTAGAGATTCCTACTAAATCTGGAGCCATACAATAAAGGAAACAGCATTTTTATGATAAAAGTTCTTTGTAAATACTTAGTTCATAAAAAAACTTACCTATAAACACTATAATTTTCAAATACATTTTTGTAATGAGCCAAATATGTAAAATTACATTCAGGAAATAAATAAAAAATATGAAAAGAATATGTTACTTCAGCAATATTTTTGAATATATATCTTTATATAGCCATCATTAGTTATTTTTACTTCAAGCTTTCACTTTTTTAATAGAACACAAATTCCTCCCTTAGGGATCATATCAACCAGTGAAGTTTAACTTTTTCTTCAATGATGCCTTATAAACAAGTTTCAAAAATAACCCAGGTATTGGTAACAGCCTTAAAAACAAACAGTTTATCCCTTTTATTTTCCAAAGTTTTTATAACTGGTGAAGAGGATGAGAGGCAGAGAGAGAAAAAGGGTAAATGATACTTCTAATTGGTTCCAGGAACTTTTCTTCTTATAAATTTTTCATCACGTATCTGATATGCTCCATCTAGACAATTTTAGAAATAGAACTGTTTCTCAGTTTTTAAAGTTTCTAAATGGACAATTTTAAACAATCAAACTCAAATTTCTTTACTAATGCTGAGTACTTACTTTGTTTTAGCATTAAGGATTCAAACTTAGCTTCTATGAAAGATAGATATGAAGTTATTATGATAAAAGGTGATAACTGTTCAAAAGGAATTTGTGAAGAAACTGAAAAAAGGGTTATAAAGAATAAAGAATAAGGCAGGAAGGAGCCAAGGAAGGGTGAATCCTAATATGAGCATAAAACCTGAGGAACTGGCAAAGTCTGAGAGAAGTTTTCTAGGAAGAAGATATAGCATGAGCTGAAGTTTGGAAGTTTTCAAGTGTGTGGCACATTTGAAGAATAGTAGGTAATGTAATGTGGATATAAATATAAACTGTCAAAGTAGAAAATGATGGGATTAAAGAAATAAATTGAGGAAAACCTGTTACAGATCTGATATGTCGACAAGGAGTTTGGATTTTAGCACGGTGTTAACCATATAAAGAAAGAGATAAAAATCAGCCCCTTAAGTGCAAAAAGGGAACCAAAACAAAACAAAGAAAAACCAGTGTATGTGACACAGAATGCCAGCAATTTACCAAAAATTCATTTCTCCATCTTCCTAGACTGAATTTCTCAGATTCCTTTGCAGTTAGTCTAGCCACCATGAGATGCGAAAGGAAATCATGTGAACCATTTCAAAGTCATCCTTTTTTAGAAAGCAGACATACCCTCTTGAAACACTTTTGCCTGTCCTGCTGGCAAAATATAGATATGACAATGAATCCTAGGGACTGATACAGCATAACACAATGAAAGGAGCCTAGGTCTTTGAGTTGCCTAGGAAAAGAAAGTCACTCATTGACTTCAGGCTGTTAAAAGTGCAAGAATTAATCTTCAGTTAAACTTCTGCCATTATACAGCTGGGACATGTAAATTATAGCAGTTAGTGATTGCCTTAACCAATAAATATTAAAAAGAGAAACAGAAAAAGAGCCCTAAGATAGACCAGATATTGTAATGTTTAAAGATTCTATACTTTAAAAAAAATTTCCTGGTGAAAAATCACTTTTGCCTAGACCTTATAACTTGCCAGGTCCTCTTCCTAAGCACAGACTCACATAACTGTCTCTATCTTTCCTAGACACTCCTTCAAGTTATAATTAAATCCATGCACCTTATTTCTCTTTGCTCACATCTATACATCCACTCTGTAGCTATATAGAGAACAATTTATGGTAAAGCATGATTTCTTTTAAGAAGAATGTCCAAGGTACTATTTGATAATTTTTACTTTTTATGCTTCTCTTATTAAAAATGTCATAATTTCCACAAACCTTAATTAAAATGTTTCTGAAAATTCTTCATAATGATTTCAGTACTTTTCAACCATATTTTTGTTTTAGAGATTTTTGTTACTATACCCCTTCCCTTATCTACTAAAGCATGAATGTACACACACAATATAAAACAGCAGTGATGGAGAGAGAGATTCTGGTTGACGGATTGATTTTATAGTATGTATTATGTTGCTATGAATACAGAGTTTATGTAATTGTGAATTATATGACTACTGTCCCTTATAAAGAAGTTTCTCTAATTTAAAGAACAAAATGTTATTAGATAAAAGCTTGTTAATTAAAAGAATTCTGGGAGCTGGGGGCATATGTCAGGGATAGAGCACTTGTCTAGTGTGCACAAAGCTGGGTTTGATTCTTAGCACTGCAAAACAAAAACAAAGATTGGCAGCCATTATGAAGTCAAACAACAAGTGCTGGCGAGGATGTGGGGAAAAGGGTACACTTGTACATTGCTGGTGGGACTGCAAATTGGTGCAGCCAATTTGGAAAGCAGTATGGAGATTTCTTGGAAAGCTGGGAATGGAATCACCATATGACCCAGCTATTCCCCTTCTCGGTCTATTCCCTAAAGACCTAAAAAGAGCATACTACAGGGACACTGCTACATCGATGTTCATAGCAGCACAATTCACAATAGCAAGACTGTGGAACCAACCTGGATGCCCTTCAATAGATGAATGGATTAAAAATGTGGAATTTATACACAATGGAGTATTACTCTGCATTAAAAAATGACAAAATCATAGAATTTGCAGGGAAATGGATGGCTTTAGAGCAGATTATGCTAAGTGAAGCTGGCCAATCCCTAAAACACAAATGCCAAATGTCTTCTTTGATATAAGGAGAGTAACTAAGAACAGAGTAGGGAGGAAGAGCATGAGAAGAAGATTAACATTAAACAGGGATGAGAGGTGGGAGGGAAAGGGAGAGAGAAGGGAAATTGCATGGAAATGGAAGGAGACCCTCAGGGTTATACAAAATTACATACAAGAGGAAGTGAGGGGAAAGGGAAAAAAAACAAGGGGGAGAAATGAATTATAGTAGATGGGGTAGAGAGAGAAGAGGGGAGGGAGGGGAGGGGGGATAGTAGAGGATAGGAAAGGCAGCAGAATACAACAGACACTAGTATGGCAATATATAAATCAGTGGATATGTAACTGATGTGATTCTGCAATCTGTATACGGGATAAAAATGGGAGTTCATAACCTACTTGAATCAAAGTGTGAAATATGATATGTCAAGAACTATGTAATGTTTTGAACAACCAGCAATAAAAATTAAAAAAATAAAACTGTTCTCCCACCAAAAAACAAAAAACAAAAACAAAACAAAAAATGTAATTTGGATGAAGACTTTTGGGAAAATAATAGGTGAATGCTGTGGTTTGTTTGAAAAAAAAGATGGAGGTAAAAGTCTGGGAATATTTATGAATTAACATAATACATCATCAGGTAAAGATACACAGTGTTGATAAGGGAATATAACAAAATAATCATTCCTAGAAGAGGGAGTCTACAGTGACATTACCAAATGAAGTGGGGTAGAGATCCATGATGTCTAAACTTTATTCTGGGACTTAGCTCAGCAAAAGATAGAAACTGGGAGGTAATGGATCCATGGTCCAGCAGAGGTAACACTGTATGAAAGAGCTGATGATAAAATAAAGTATTTAAGTTCAGTTTGAGAAAGCCATTGTAATTGTACTAACACAAGGGAGCTGTAGAATGACCCAAGTCTGGTGAGGAAAGAGAGGAAAAATCATGAAAGGCCTTGTGGGTCCTGTTAAGATTTGTGGCCTTAATTTGTGAGTTTAAACTAGGTTAGATGCTTTATGGAGATATGGCTTTGCCTTGGTATATCATCTTATACCCTAACTTAAGAACAGTATGTTATGAATAGGTATATAGCTTAATGATAGAGCTCTTTTTAATTTTTTTATTGTTCTAATTAGTTATACATGATAGTAGAAAGCATTTCAACTCACTGTACACAAATGGAGCACAACTTTTCATTTATGACTGTACATGATGCAGAGATACACCATTCATGCACTTGTACATGTACACAGGGTAATCATGTTCATCTCATTCCACCATTCTTTCCACCCTCATACCCCCTCCCCTCTCCTCTCTTCACTCCCCTCTGTTCAATTCCAAGTTCCTCCATTCTTCCCTACTTAGCCACACACCCCGAATATGTTTCAACATCCTCATATCAGAGGAAACATTTGGCCTTTGTTTTTGGGGGATTGGCTTATTTCACTTAGTGTGATATTCTCCAGCTCAATCCATTTACCTGCAAATGCCATAATTTCATTCTTCTTTAAGACTGAGTAATATTCCATTGTGTATATATATATATATATACCACAGTTTCTTTTTTTCCCTTTTAATTCCTTTTAATGTTAGGCATCAAAAGAATTTTAATATTTGCCTATACATTTAAGAATGTCATAGCACAGATGGATTATTTCCTAGTTATTCACAAGTTTATGTAATATATGCAGTTTGTGTAATATTTCCAGTTGAAAACTCTCAGTGAGACAAAACAACAGTTCATTTTAAGAAATTATTCAAATTAAAGCATAATTTAATTATTTTTCCTTGTTAAAATACATATGTAACACAGAACTTCCAAAAAACATATAGCTAGGTCTAAGATGAAAATAAA